GGTGGGGTCTCCGGTTTGGTCAAGATGCTAGGGAGAGATATGGTGGATTAAAGATAGCCACACATTCCTTGATATTCCTTATTTTGTGAGATAGAGTCTATTTCCCCTTCTTCTGAGCCTGGTTTGATTTCAACGACCTATTTGCCCAGTGAAATGTGGTAAGATTGCTATTCAAGGACTTCTAGCCAGCCAGCCTTGTGTGGTGGTGAACATCTATAGTTTCAGGACTTGGGGAGGCTGAGACAGGATTGTTGTGAGTTCCAGCCAGCCTCAGTTACATAGTGAGTTCAAGCCCAGTCTGGAATACACAGCGAGATCCTATCTCAAAATACCAAGCAACCAACCAGCTAACCAACCAACTAAGCAACCAAAGAAACCCTTAAGGAACCTCCACTCTTAGGCTGTAAGAACTTCCTTCTGGGCCTCTGAAAGACTTGTTCTTGGAAGTAGCAGCCATGCTGTGAAGAGGTCCGAGGAATCTCATGACAGGAGTCCCCAGGGAGAGGACCCGGAGTCCCAGGCTGGCGTGGCAGTCCTGCCACGTGACTGCCACGTGAATGAGCCATCTTGTAGGTCACTCCACCACCCCCCACTGACCGTTCCATCCCACACTCCCTAGGACAGACACGAGCCCTGTCTCGTGTCCCTGCCAGGTCACACATCTGTTGGCAAAATGAACGACGGTTGCTATCTCAAGTCAATACATCAGGGGCGGTTTGTTATACGGTGACAGATAACTGGAACAGAAGTCTACCGCTTTGAGACTGCTCATCTACTTCACTGGGGCAGGGAAGCAGTGGATAAGAAATGGACAGATCTGGGCTAGTGAGAGGAACTTTCGAAGTCACTAATGCATCTTACCTTTCAAGCATGACTTGATCTTTAGGACTGTTTTGGGAATTGAGGTGGAAGATGACTGTAGTTACAGCTTCCCTTCCTTTCTAACCCTTTCTACACTGGGGCCCTAGTATGATTATCTAACTGGAGAGCCATTTATAAAGCGCATCTCATAGGAAATGCACCGTTCAAGCAGTGATGGTAGATAATGCCTTCGCTTTTCAGAGAACTCTTGAGATAGGTACTATTATCCTCATTTCACAGGTGAGAAAACCGAGGCACAAAGAGATTAAATAACCTTAGCAAAACCACACAGCTAGTAAATGGTAGAAGCAAGAATCAAATCTAGGTCATCCAGTCCCAGGACTGATGCTCTAAAAACATTCTCTGTCCTGTTTTTCTGATCTAAGCTCAAGTGTGAACAAAAATACTTCCTGCTAAAAGAAACGTCCAAAAATGCAGCACATAGATTTTATTAAGTATTTTCTTTGGCCAGCTTAGGTGCCGGATGGAGGATTTAAAGACGCATTAATAGTAGTGGGAGTGAAGCATTGTGCTAATTACTTTGCTAAAATATATTATCTCTCATTTGATTTTAACAAGTCGTATGAGGTAAGCACTGTGATTATCCCCATTTTACAGATGAGATAATCAAGGTTCGGAGAAATCAAAGAACTTGCTTGAGGCCACATGGTGATCTGACCAAAGTTAATGTTCAGAGCTGCGTCTTGCTTGATTGCTGTCTTCTGATTTTTCATAGGCCAGTTAGTGGGGGAAAGAACAGGTGCTGTAGCTCTAGCCTGGGGCTGTTAAAAGGGGTTGAGGTAGGAGGCAGCAGAGAGGAAAATAACCACGGAATTAGGGGAAGATTGTTTTCCTTCCTTTCCTTTCCCTTCCATCTCCCCTCTCCTTCCTTTCTGTCTTCCTTCCTTCCTTCTTTCCTTTCCTCCTCCTCCACCTCCCTCTCGCCCTCAAATTGGGACATCTCAGGGACCCCTCGAGCAATTACCTTGCCAGTCACACAAAGGATGGAGAGGTTATTCCAGGCGAGGCTGGGGTGGGAAGAGGGCTCAGCAGGTCTAAAGTTAGGACAACTTGACAGGAACGACACATGGGGGAGACAAGCCACTGGTCCACATTGGTGTGGGAGTCACTGGGCAGAGCTGCTGGAGAACTGAGCAGGGCACATTCAGAAGAGAGGCGAATGCCACATCCGAGGCTTTGAACTCCGCTCTGAACGTGACTGTGCTTTCAAAGCGGGTTCGTAATGACTCACAACCGAGGGCATCGGTGTGAGCCTACCCCTTAGCTAGCCATTTTGGCTTTGGCCTCAACTCACTGTTTAACAGCAACCTTTGCAGAAAGCAGAGGTCTCTGCAGTTTCTATTTGCCCGTCTCACTCCCCAAGAACACATCATTTATTTCCTATAAGTGCCTGTCTCCCTCTTCCTCGAATATGCTCAGGGTTACAACTTTCTCTGCTTCCTGAGGGAGTTGCCCACTCCGCACAGTCATTACTCACTCCATAAAGCCTGTCTCCAAACTCTCCTTCTCAGCCCTTTCCCCCTGACCCTTTGCGACTGACCAGTTAAAGGATAAGCACAATGCCTCTCTGTTTCTTCAACACAGCTGCCATTTTGAGTTTCCCCTGAAAAATGGCTGCCCCTGGGGAAGCAACCTCTTTCTTTTTCTTCTTTGCTTAGTCTGAAGCCAGTGTCATTTATTTTGCACCTTCTTGTCTCTTTTCCACACATCCAACCAGGACAACTGAGATTTATCTGCTTATAACACAATTAGAAAATTGATCTCAGGCCCAAACCTTGTGATGTGGAGGTAGATTAGGAGTGATGAGGTACAACGGCAAATACAACTTCATTTCACCACACTGCTCTTCCCATCTGTGAAACGAAGACTTGTGTCCTGCTCAGTTCATTTTTATCCTAGCTGAGGAGGTAGAAGGAGGAGCAGATATGCAAAATCACCTCACACATTATTCATGAGTAGTGTTAGCGATGAGAAAGAATGGTTAACAGTAGAGCCAGACAGGTTGGGTTCAAGTTGCCCCTCCTCTATTTATAGCTGTGTCATCTTGGGCAAACTGTTTCACCTGTCTGTTACCTCCGTTCCCTCAACCACTTAAAGATGATGGTGTCCCCCTCAAAGAGCTCTCAAAAGAAGCCAATCAATCCGTGCAGAAGCGCTCAGAATAGTCCTGGCGCGGTGTGACACCACACCGAGGTGGTTTGGTCGTCGTTCTTTACAACTTGCTACGACATTCGCGTGTGGAAATCTTGACTTCCTCCCTTAATAAAAACATCTCTCAGCTTTCAAAAGCTGGTACTCTGTAATTTATCCTAGGTAATAATTAAACACTGGTAAGATCAAGAACTCGGTAGTAAGTGAACCACTCACTTCTCAAGAAGGCTGTGAGGTGTCAGAGAGCGTTTTGGGGGAAGGCCATGATTTGGACCTGGTGAGCCATCAGGGTCCTAAACACAGGAGGTGCTTTCCAGGTTCTTTCAGGCAGCAGTTTGAAAGGACACATTCTGACACGGCTGGGTGGACTGTGTGCAGTGGTTGGTAAAGTCTTGTTAACACATTTAGGGTGACCTGCCTTTGCCTGTGTTTTGTGCTTGTGTGTTTTTAATCACCACCACCTTGGTAGCAATGATTCTTTGTTGTAACAAATGTGTCCAATCAGGTCAGGGATTGGGCCTCATGATGAACCAAAAGTAACACTTTGGGAGCTCTGGCTATTTCTTTTCTTTTCTTTTTGGCCTGTGTTATGCCGATCACAACATATTCAACAAAGGGATGGTAAAACTTAAAAATAACATGAATAAAGGCAAAAATGTATGAAAGAGATTAAGGCTCGGTATGAAAACTATTTTTATAGGCAGTTTGGCCTGAGCTTTGAAGTTCAATGGGGAGTGATGTATGGCTATCAGCTTGCATTTCACACCTATTTAATTCTGTAACCAGGTAACGATGAAGGGCCTCCTTGGGGAATAGAAGAATGAAACAAAATTAAGGCAAGCTGTGAAAAGGTCCCCTCGGTGCAACTGCACTTCCAGGGTCCATTGAGATTTGCCAGAGTGGGTCTGTACTTTTTTTCCCTTTAAATTGGAAAGATGCTGTGACAATATTTAAAATATTTTGCCAAAAGGAAAAAAAAAACCAACACATTGTCACCTACAACCCTAACACCCCAGAGTAAAGACATTTTCATTTTTATGTGTTCCAAGTTAGCCCTCACCTTAGTGCAGATATTCTCTCATAGAACTGCACAGGGGATTTACTTTTAAACAGGGTTTCTTTTTTGTTCCCTCTGTGGTAGTGGGACTCGAACCCAGGGCCTTTGCACTGACCTACATCTTGAGCCCTTGTTTTAAAATTTTGGATACGGTCTCGCTGAATTGCTAAACTGCCCAGACTGCCCTTGAACTGGTAGGGATCCTCCTGCTTCAGCCTCCTATCCTGCTGGGTGTATAGTCGTGCCTGTCTACGGTTTCCTTCTCGTTTTCACTAGGCAGTTTATCACCTTTTTGTTTCCTTCCCACACGGAACCAAGAAGCATCCAATCCCAGCATGAGAATGGCCGCACGGTGTGTGTTGCCAAGCTTTTGTGTGTGTTTGTCTTGCTTTTCTGTCCCCGGAGGTGCGGGGCGCCTTGCGCTTCGTCCACGTGTGCAGCGTTCCTTTACTCCGCCACCC